TATAAGGCTGAGTTCTCTTGAAACTCATCAGACTGAAGAAGTCTCTTGGAGGAGAGACGAAACGTTTCACTAAAAAAAAACCCATCCAGAGGACCTACTTATTTTTTCTTTTTGATTTTTTCTACCTGGATTATTGAGACGCATCAGGACACTCCCAACAAGACCAATCAAACGTTAAGAGCAAAACAATGACAGTAGGYCACAGTAAATGTATATACAGTGTTAATAAAAGTGGAACTTTATATTTTCATCGTTTCTAACCAGGCAAATGGRATCCTCCTATGTGCTCCCATGATGTAATGGTCCGTCTCCTGAGTCAAGCCTCGCATCAGCCCAAAGTCTCCAATCTTCACCATCTCCCTGGAGGACAGCAGCACGTTCCTCGCCGCCAAGTCCCGGTGGATGAATCTACGGCTCTCCAGGTAGTCCATCCCCGCCGCGATCTGGGTCGCAAAGAGCCAGAGGCGGAGCAGCGGGTACTCGWACTGACGCGCTCGTAGCATGTCGTATAAAGAGCCCAGCAGAGCCAGCTCTGTTACCTGKTAATAAAAGGAAAACAAACCAGGGCAGCATTAACATCTGCTGAGGGAAGAGTGTGAGCTGGAATATTTGGTAATATGGACTCACCATCTTGAGGGGCTGTGTGAGCACCACACCGTACAGTCGGATGATGTTAGGGTGGTTTAAGGACTGCATGGTGGTGACTTCTTGGAGAAAGTCTGTCAGTGTTTCTGTTTGTTTCGCCATACTGCTCTTCAGGGATTTTACTGCCACTGGAAGCTGAGGGTAGATACATACAAAATGTATCAGTGTGTTCAAACAAACAGTAAGTTCATGGAAATGAATATTTACATGAATACTTATTATTCTGGGTTAGAAAGGTCTAAATTCAGCCTGGATTATTGACTCAAAACAAGGATTTAAAAAGATAGCTCTTCGAATGACCCCAGTTCGAAAAAATAGGCTGGAATGAAGAGCCAAAGGCTAGTCTGAACAGATTGTATTGCTGCCATCTTAAAACAACTCTAATCTAAAAGGTTTTATAGCAAACACTATTTTATAAACCCTTACAGTTTAGTCAATTTCACTTTATAAAGTTATTCCAGCAAAACAATAAAATAACAATTTTCCCACCAGACATATCCCAGGCCTTACTGGAAGTGCTACAGCTGGCTGCTATTGCTGCTGCTTGTGCTTCCATAGATTTGTGCGTAAATTAATTCCAAAATATGAAACTGGCTGCAAGGTAAACGTCAGTGGGGGGCACAGTTACACTAATAGGGGAACTAGCTTCTCATTTAGAGAATTAGCTTTTATGCTAACTTTGGAAACCAATTAGCTTCTTCTAAATTAGGTTCAACTAATTATAACTATAAAAGTGCTGGGTATGTCAGGCAACATGTGTGTAGCATGTAGCATCTTTAGCAGCTAAACTTCAAACTAACAGCGTCAAAAAGAAATAAAATAACATTTAACAATATTTAAGCAATACAAAAATTGACTCTGTATAAAATACGGTAAAGAAAGTATTTGCTATTTGTTGTTTGACTAACTTCAAATGGTATTTAGAAAAATACAAACAGAACCACWGAAATGCTTAGAGATATAACTCTGGTTTGGATTGGCCAATTTGCCGCAGATGATCCCGCCCACCTTCAAATTAAACCAATAGAAAACTAACATCCGATTTRTATCAGAACCACCAGCATTCAACTGGAAGGAGATGAAGACATGTGACACAGGTTAACGGTTGTCTTAGCGGTTAGCTTCCACTAATCTTTTTAAAATAATTTTTGGGGGTTTAGTGTTAGCAGCGCTAAGATTCTTGTTTAGCAGATTAGTGGTTAGTAAAGGTAAAAAAAAACAATCAGTTACATGAATCGCTATGAAAGCTTTGAGACATGAATTGCTATGAAAGCTTTGAGACTGAAGTTATTTTAACCGTCCTGCTGTCCTTTTGTCAAAATGACCTTATGGAGGTAATAAAACTGAGGTCACCTGGGTCATTTTGACCCAAAGGCAGCAGGAGGGTTAAGACTGCAATAATCTGCTCTGTTCTTGGTCTTATGCAGACTAGTCATTATTTGGTTATTTGCTCAAACTTAATCTAATTTCTCCAAATTGAGATTGTTATAAAAGCTATCTACAACAAGTAAGATACTGACAGCTCAAAATACTTCACAGAACCCCACTTAAAAAGAGATTCCTAATTTTCCATCAAACAAACAAAATCACCCTGAGGCCTCATTTTTAAAACTAAGTTTTAATTAAAAGACAAACAATCAAACAAACAAAAAAAGCTCTTACCACCTTCCCTGTGGGCGTATACCACTCCCCCCTCTTCACCACCCCAAAGGACCCAGAGCCCAGCTTCTCCCCCAGAATCAGCTCGCTGTCCTGGATCAGAGACGGCAGAGTCCGACCACCGGTGGTCTCGGAGCTCGGAACCTGGGTCCCTCCGGTCCACTGCTCCGCTCCATCTGAACCACGGAACACCTGTGTGCAGTTTTTAAACTCATAAAAGCRCCCTCCGCGTGAAGTTTGCTGCACTACTTTTCTCATGAAAGAAGAATCCTCAGACCTTGTTCATCCACGTYGAGCGGGACCGCGACTGTGTTTTGTAGCGTTTCAGTGCCTCCCATAATCTTCTCTGTGCTGCGAAACAACAAACAGATACGTGTCAGGTTTAATGCTTCAGTCGTGTTTATCTGGAGCTGTGACTTTRAGCTCTGCCTTCCTGGCTCACAGACAGCAGGTGTGAGGGTGGAGACCTATTTCTGTCAGGAAGTTCAGTTTGGTGACAGCAAGTCGTAAAAGTTCAACTACTCCCATCAGCAAAGCAGGACTAAACTTTAACCATAAAGAAGAAAATGTGCAGTTGTATAAAAGTCAGAACTATTTTTATGTCTAACCTTTGTCTACAGCTTTTAGGTCGTTGTGTCTTTGTGACACGAGCGAGCTGAAACCAAAAATATCAGCTGKTTATAGTAGTTATCCTTTCACTTCTGATTATTCTGTTAATCCAGTAAAAATGCATTAAAACCAGCCTGATTTATTTTGTGATATTTTTAATGGTTGCTAGATAAAAGCTGCAAAAAATGTTGATTATTTGTTTTTTTCACTAGAGACAAAAAATAATAGCTCAAAACTACATTTTAAATTTATTTAATAGGTCTGTTTTCTTTGGGTCAAAATGGTCCACGAGACTTCAGTCAACTCTGAGGCCTTCTGGGTCATTTTGACCTAAGGGCAGCAGGAGGGTCTGATTCATGAAACAAATTCAAGAGTAGCATCCAATGAATGAATGAATGAATGAATGAATGAATGAATGAATGAATGAAAGAAAAAGGGACAATATTGTTGAATTTAAAATCTTTTTCTTAACATGTTTGTTCAATAGTGGAAAAAACAATAGAAAATAAAATCTCAGCTTTAAAAAGAAGCTTCTAACAGAGTCACCATTAAGTTGTGTTTTCAGCCTCTCAGACTGACCAGACTACATTTGCTTACCAAAATAAAAGTCTTTTTAGTCCAACACGATCCGTAATATAAATCTCTGAAAGGTAAACATTTAACAAAAAGATACTGTGATTATTAATAATGRTGATTTCCGAGGCTCACCAGGTTTGCTGATTCCGATGTTCTCCAGGTCCGACTCCTTCACGTAATGAAAGTGTTCGATGCGGGTAATGTTCAGCCCGTCTCGGATGCGTACGTAGAACTTTTCCAACTGGACCTCAGCCAGGAGCTGGTACAACCACTGAGTGTCCTGGTCCATCACCATGACCTGGTCCACAAGCCTGCAGGCACGAAGAGGGTTTAAAATATGTTTACATCGCAAAATTATTTAATCAGATTAAATAACCAAAATGTATCGTTTACATGGATACAATAAGCCATTCCATAGCACAGAGTCAGCTCTTTTAAAAGTTTTTAATGATACGTATTTTTAGCCACTGATTCTGGTGACTGTGTTGTTTTGGTATTGTTGGATTTATCAGCTGCTTTTGACACAGTTGATCATGGAATTTTACTTTCTCGTTTGGAACAGTGGGTGGGCATTGGTCATATAGCTCTGGATTGGTTTAAATCTTATTTGGCCGAACGTACTTTTTCTGTCTGTCTTGATGGCCATRTGTCCTCCTCTGCTCCACTGTTGTGTGGTATTCCACAGGGCTCRGTTCTGGGCCCTCTTCTTTTTCTATTGTACCTCCTTYCTCTTGGCTCTATTCTTAGGAAACATGGGATTGCTTTTCATTGCTATGYGGATGACATACAGGTTTATTTACCRCTGAAGAATGTAGATTYCACCTGTCTTCAGTCTCTGTTTTTATGTCTTGAAGATTTGAAGTCCTGGATGGCCCAAAATTTCCTGAAACTTAATGATGATAAGATGGAGGTGCCGTTTTTTTGGTAGATCCAGTAAAGATCCCATGACCCATGCTGGCTGTTTGGCACAGTATGTAAAACCGACCATCACGAATCTAGGGGTCAAGATGGATTCTGATTTTAAGCTGGAAACGCACATTAAAGCTGTTGTTAAATCCAGCTTTTTTCACTTAAGGCAGCTGGCCAAAGTAAGACCCATTCTTTCTAAACAACWCTTTGAAATATTAATCCATGCATTTGTAACCACACGGCTGGMTTACTGCAATGCTCTCTATTTAGGAGTCAGTGATTTGTGCATTTCCCAGCTTCAGAGGCTTCAAAATGCTGCTGCTCGTCTCTTAACAGGTACATGGAATTTTGATCATATTTCCCCAGTTTTAGCTTCTTTACACTGGTTGCCAATACCTTTTAGGATTAATTTTAAAATTATTTTATTTCTTTTTAAAGCTCTTAATGGCCTTGCACCTTCTACTTGTCTGAGCTGTTGCACCCCTACACGCCCTCCCGTTCCCTTAGGTCAGCTGACCAGTTGCTTTTGAGTGTGCCTAGGACAAAGCGCAAGCTTAGAGGGGACTGCGCTTTTTCTGTGGCAGCTCCAAAACTATGGAACGACCTTCCTTTGGATRTAAGACAGGACTCTTCCCTTSATGTTTTTAAATCACTTCTTAAGACCCATCTTTTTTCTTTGGCTTTTGTCACAATCGGGGATGTTTGATTTGTGACKTTGTTTTATTRTGTTTTTWTCTGTGTTTTATTTGATTACTACTTTTRTTTTHCTATTTTATGATTGWATTGTATTTTATGACTGTATGCAGCACTTTGGTCCTGTCGGTGTTTAAAGTGCTTTACAAATAAAGTTGGTATGGTATGGTATATGGATACAAATCAAAAAGAAAAAATGAGTAGGTCCTCTGGATGGGTTCTTCTTTAGTGAAACGTTTCGTCTCTCCTCCAAGAGACTTCTTCAGTCTGGTGAATTTCAGGAGGACTCAGCCTTATAAGCACTGCCTCCACATGGTGGACAAACAGGTTAGTCACATGCAAAAGAGGACCATCGCCTAACAATAGGCTTGATTAGTTCTATTGTTCATAGAGGGTCATGTGCCCCATCACCTGACTTATTGGTTTGCATGTGACTAACCTGTTTGTCCATGWGGAGGCAGTGCTTATAAGGCTGAGTTCACCTGAAACTCATCAGACTGAAGAAGYCTCTTGGAGGAGAGACGAAACGTTTCACTAAAGAAGAACCCATCCAGAGGACCTACTTATTTTTTCTTTTTGATTTTTTTCTACCTGGATTATTGAGATGCATCAGGACATATGGATTCAAAGTTAATTAAGCTGATCATGAGGAGCRTTTACCTGCACCAGGTTTTCATTCAGAACAGAGACATGCACAGAGTTGTAAACCTTCCCTAAAAAAACTGCAGAAGAAGAAGCTCTACTTCCGCAAGTAACGTAAACAAACGTTAAAATAAACAAACGCTGATATAACTCTGACGCTTTCCAACATCAAGACGTTCGATCATTTTAAGCTCTTCCAAAGTTTCTAACRGAAAYGTTGTATCGCTAACCAAMCAATTAGCTTCCTCRACATATCAGCATGTAGCCTGGTGGTAATGTCAGGTTAACACAGGGCGCACAGTCAGGTCARTTTACTTCAACCAGAATAACCTAATCAGAATAAGTGTTATYAYRCACCCTGTTCAGATTATCAATCAGCATAACCCGCCCCTCTCATTCAGATTATAAATTCATTCTGATCCAGCTGAATCAGATCAGAATATTCAGATCAGTGCTTTTATTCAATTGCTTGCRTCCATGTAAACATAGCTAATGACCACGTGAGTGAATGTTTCGCACAGAGCTCCTGCTTCTCCAAACACAAAGAGCTATCYACAACAGGTAAGATACTGATGGYTCATAAMCTTTCCACAGAATTTATAAAAAAGCTGAAATGCTTCTCTAAACTGGAGAAAAACAGACTATAAAAGTGAGTAAAAGGTGCTTAGTTTGAWTGGTTTACTAGAACCAGTCTAGCTTGGTAAGGTTGCTCAGTTTGGACTTTATTTTACAGACAACTTCATGTTTGTTAAATTGACTAAAGTAAAGGTAAAGGTGCTTTATTTGTCATCAGTGTATGTTTCCACACAATGACGAAATTGTGCTCTGCATTTAACCCATCCACACCCAAGTGGAGCAGCGGGCAGCCATGTGAGGCGCCCGGGGAGCAGTGAGGGTTAGGTGTCTTGCTCAAGGACACCACGACATGTGGGTATGGCGGGGAGTCGAACCTAAGACTTTCGGGTCCCAAGCCGGCTGCTCTACCCCTACACCACAGCCGCCCCTAAAGTGAGCATAAACTAGTCATTTGCAAACTGACAATAAATGTGGGGATCTTCAGTCTTGCAGGGATCTCTGCAGCAGCGTCAAAAACTGGGAGGTGTTTGAAGCCACCAGTTGGACCGGATCCTGTCAGCCCAGCGTTTATGCAACGACTGAAATCCCAGTTTCCTGAAACTAACACTGAGACAACCAGCAGCAGGACTTTTAGGTTTCATTAGTTATTATCTTTACAGTAAATACTAATAAAGTGGGACTAGCATTGTGTTTAGGGTAAACAACTCCTCCTACAAATACGAAAGTGAAACGATATTGATTCATGATAACGTCTCAGCCTGCAGGTCACCTGCTGCTCAGCGGGTAAGAAGCTTCAACTTTCCTCCCCGTCAGTCACACACCACATCCACACCTGCCTCCACAAGTCTGGGCCTGCTGTCRTGTTTTTCAAGGGCAACTCCCAATTAAATTAGAAGCCAAAGCTRAGCGTGAGGACGAGGCTGAATCCTGTCTTTGGGTTTGTGTTAGGAAAACATGCAGGTAAACAGAGAGGCCTGCGATCATCATCGGGGACCTTTTTGTGTGCAGAGGGTTGAATGTTTAACCTGTTCAGCTACTGGAGAGAAGAAAAAACATAGAAAGATAATATATGTGACCAAGAGCTCAGTCATTTTCACGTGGCGATGAAAGACACTCAGAAAACTGGTCCAAGCTTTATGACATGAGCYGTTATGAGTTCAGGTTTTTAGATTTAAGCTTAGTTTTTGCACTGTTTGACTCAGATTTTGGATAATTTGAACCTTYTTGTGTGGTCTAACCATTCTTCGTTTGTTTAGTACACTATAATAATATTGGGTATATTATGAGCCTTTTTTTTAATCCCCAAAGACACCATATTATAAAACTTATTCTCAGATTCTCATATCAATAAAGAGATAAATAATTCACCTTTTTTAAATTATAGAGCTGTGCTCATTGATAGTTTTTTTTTCATTTAAGTTACTAAAAGCAAAAATACTACTCATTATAATGAAAATGTACAGTTAAAATCACCATAAATTGGAATATATGACACTCCAAAGTGTTTTAAATGATATTTTTCAAGGGTTRTGCTTGTCCATTACACTACTTATGAGAAAGGATCAATATAAACATGACTTTGAACCACTTATTAAACGTTTTGATTTATTTAGCATTTATTTACCGTGAATCAAAGTCGGTCCTCCAACCTGCTGCCCGTGTTCCTTCAACCACTCACAGCCCGAAACAGGTGATTCATGTTGGTGTCGAAACCTCCAGAGACGTCGGGAAGAACAATCCTCAAATCCCCCACATCAGATACCTACAAGGTCCAGGAAACGCGACGAAATCCAGGCTCGGTTCGGTGGCACGGAAATGAAAGCGTAATCCTTTGGATTTCTGTCTCTAGTTTCGGACAAAGTGTTCCTGTTATCTACCTGTGAGTGTTTTCTTTCCTCCACCTCTATCCAGAYTCTTCACCTGACCACGCCTCTTCCGGACTTCTCTTCCTGGGCTGGGGACAACCTCCAGGCTGAGAGCACCTGCAGATCACTGAACACCTGAAATAAACATTCTGTCAGCTGTAATGTGACACTGGAAGTAATTCATACAACTTGGCAAGTTATGGATTTGTTTATACATATATTCATATGTACTGAATGATCTAAAACATGCAAACTAAAACACAGCTTATTAT